CAAGCCGGGATCGAAAACACGACCGATTTGGTATCAGTCAGATATTCTACCCAGACCATCGAGGCACTGCAGAGAGGAAGGGAAAGTTTAACGTTTTCTACGCAAAATACGTCAGTGGCCCGGAGAGCTGAATTCAGTTCGGTTAAAGATTACAGTTAGTGACATTTTTTTTTAGATTAGATTTATTGCGTCCTGTTATACATATCTATGTATAACTTCAAAACAGAAAGATAGTATTATAAAGTTATTGAGTGATGGTAATACAACATAGGGAATTGCGAAAAATTTGAAGAGATCATAAAATAATCAAAAAAGGAAGTAAAAGCTTTAAGATAAGAACAAGAAAATTTGATTTTAAGAATGTCACAATAAGTCATTTGCCAAAAATATGCGTCCAATATGCAGAAAATATGGATCAATCAGTAAGAACTTTTTTAAATACCTCGCCAAATCTGGTGTCAACACAAAGAAAAGATACGGAATTTTAAAGACATTGGCTAAAGACACCAAAGCAACAAGAAAGTAAATATCAGATGAAAGATGTGAAAATCGGCGAAGAATTACAGTGAAACTAATTTCTCAACATTAAATTTGATAAAATTGATGGCTAGTCTAGATTTTAGGTCCTTCAAGGAAATTTTTAACCACTACGACTTTGAAGACAACAGTGATTAGACAGATGTTTGGGGATATATTATATGCGGTAAAATTTAGGATAGCTTTAAAATTTGTTGATAGTGTCAAAATTAATGCCGAAATTATTTTAAGCTCTTCGTCAAGACAGATTTGAATGTTATAAGTTACAACCAAAAGGTTTTAAAATAAATGACTATTTTGTTTTCGTATGTTTTAGAAATGCAAGAAATAGGTTTGAGTAATTAAAAAAGCGCTGATCTCTACTAAAATGTTTACGCACAGCCATTCTTTAGGGTTTATAGAGAACGGTAAGAAAAAGAAAAAATCCACCGAGGGGCAATTCTGCGGCGGAAATCCCTTGTTGTTGAAAGAGGTATGATCAGAATGACCAGAATGTTTCAAACTGATAGAAAAGCAACTGTCGCTGAAATAACCACTATTTTCAACGGAAGTATACGGAAGAGGATGTTTGAACGCGCAACACATCGCACCTTGAATCAGTTGAGCTACAGCAGCAGAAGGTTACTCATATCAGTTAAGAACAAGAAACAGAGATTAAAATTCAATAAAGAAAAAATAACTGAACACTAGAAGATTAGAAATAAGTTGCCTTTTCTGATGAGTCTCTGTTTCTGCTGCTTTTGCATGGTAGGGTCAGAATTCGACAATCTGAAAGTATTAATCCTGCCTTGTAGCAGGTGGTGGTGGTGTAATGAGGGGTAGTTTCTTGCCAGAGATTGGCACGCTTGGTACCAATAAAAATCGTTTAAAGAAACCTATTTACGACTTATGACTTATGACTAAGATGAGCCACTGGCACAGAAATACGCAGTGTAAAAAATTATAAAAATAATGGTACATTATGGAACACAGCAATGCATTTCCTATGTTAAAATGGCCGCCACGGTCACCGGATCTCAATCCCATAGAGCATCTTTGGGATGTAGTGTGAAAAAAAATTCAAATCGGCAGTGTCCTGCAAACCAGTCTACAAGAATTGCGGAACCATAATAAAAGCATGGATCCAAATTCCGAAAGAGTACCTCCAGAATGTCGTCGAGTCCCTATCATGAATAAGTGAGGTGTCTCTAAATATCAAATGGTATCCAACTCGGTACTAGGAGAGAATACTTAATAAAGTTACAGGTGAGTGTCCATTCCTAAGCATTTACCTCAACATTAACGCAGAATTTATCAATTATGATGCTGTTTAAGTAAAGAAGTAAAATTATCGCTCCAAATTTCTGACCATATTGATTGTAATATAAATTATTTGAATATATATATATATATATATATATATATATATATATATATATATATATATATATAGAAAACACACTAAAATAAACCATTGAGTTTAAATATTAAATTAGAACGAACAAGTATATATACTTGTATATATACTTGTTCGTTATTTTAGTGTGTTTCTAATTTTGCTCTTCAATATCGCTATTATTCATTTCGCTAATCCAACGATTGTCTCCTGATGAGATGTTGGCTTTGTGGCTCTAGAGACTTTTAATATTAAATTCAATGGTTTCTAGTTTTAAAACTATTTATAAATTTTGTACCTCCAAACATTTGTTTATATATATATATATATATATATATATATATATATTATTTCGGATAACTTGAAGATGAACAGAAGATTGTTTTCACTGACCTCTGAGGTGGCTAGAGGTCGCCAGGGGTCAATTTTGAATCCAAATTGTTATTTCCGGACAAATTGCAAAACAATTCATCTATTTAAGCATTCATATTATTATTATTATTCATCGCATAAAATGGAACTAGCTTAATTGTAGGAGAGTCCATGTAAATATTTACTTCTAAAGCACTACAGTGTACATGCCATAAGCCAAGGGGTTAGATAAACTGCATTCTCTTCACATGAAACACTTTGGGATGTTATTGGTCGGGAAAACGATGCAAGTGAGAAAAGTTCTTAGTTAAATGAATTTCCATACAGTTATTATGTGAATTGGTACAGTATATGTAAAAAGTTTTTCTTTTATGAAAATGAAGGAAAAAAACTGTAAGAATAAAATTTAATTTTAATTTATTTATTTTTTTAAGTCGTGGATGTACAGTAAACGAGGATGGTCTGGTAGTGTAGCGTTAAGCGGCTCGAAAAGAGATTTCGATGAGCCGAGTTCAGATTCTGTCCAAGTTTTTTATGCTTACTTTACACGAATACACTTGAGAAAATGTATGGGTTAAATAGGAAAGACTTTGCTCTTTAGACTTGGCTAACAGCCAGTCTAGATATGATGACGATAAAATTCCTCTGGGCCATTCGGGCCGAAAAAAAAACACAATGACAAAAGTACTTAAGTCACTTGTTTTGCACAATCTGCTGCAGGCACAGATGTCTTTTTTAAACTGAACTATTTTATTCATTTTTTGAAAGTACCAATTCTGAAGGAATCAACGTCCCTGGACCAACGGAAGATTGATAAAAAAATTTTAAAGTATTTGATCAAAGTATAATGAACTCAGGTGATTATATACATTTTTGATATTTAAAAATCCACATAAATCCGCCAACTATTTCTAAAAAGACTCGATGAGAACGATTAAATTATCGGAACGATTGACATTTGTTCCAAAAGTTTTATATCTTACATCTGTTACATCTTACATTTGTTCATAGCAAATAACATAAAGAAGACGTTGTCCTCTACCAGTCAGGCCGAAAATGGAGGACTGTTGCCATATTTGGGCAGGAGCTACCCACTCTTCACTTTCCAGAGTTCAAAAGCGTCTCTGTGTCCTTATTGGTGAAGGATTATTTTCCACCTTCTACCCCCCTCTCTCTCTCTCTCTCTCTTACAGGCGAGATGTGACGAGTCTCTCACTGATCTATCGTTACTTCCATGGAAAGTACTCGAACGAACTACATTCCTTGGTTCCGTCAGGTCTGATCTTCATGGGTAGGACCCAATATACCACTTACATATTAGTTAAAACTACCCACATTCCCTCCGTATTCCATCGGCAAGAAGTAAGTTCCAATCAAACTGCTTTTTCCTGCGAACACTTCCATATGGAATAAACTCCCAAGTCTACTGTATTCACTCATAACAAATTGTAATTGTAAATTCGTTCGTGTACCCGCCCCCCCCACCAAAAAACTCATTTTTTCGCGTTATTCCAGCATTTTTAACGTTCCCAATTTTTGACAGCTTTAATAGGAACATGACTTTCTGTAAATAAGTTGCTCCAGGATGAGCCTCTAAGCTTTGTAAATAACGCTCTTGCAACTTTTCGGTCTTTACAAATATTTGATTTGTTCGTAAACAAAGCTACAATATAACTGTTATTGTTATTGTTTTATTTAATGAAACACTTGTAATAAAGCTCATTAATTCAGCACCCAAGTAGAAAATTAGTGAAATCAAGAAATTAAATTGATTTTTAAATTCAGTGATATAGCATATACGTATTTGTAGAAAACAATTTTTGAGTCTCTTGAAGGCAAACAATTATATTCGAGATATTTTTTTAAATTCTCTTTTTTTCCCTCCCCTCTCTCTCCTTCACACACACACACACACACATATATATATATATATATATATATATATTTGAGTATATGATTTGATGATCGTTTAAAGCGTGGAACTGACCGTGATTATGAAGTTTTAAATCTTCTGTCCGTACTGTTTATATAGACTTGCGCTGTATCTCCGATATTGAACACTATTCTGCATAAATATGGCAAACAATATAATTATATATATATATATGTGTGTGTGTGTGTGTGTGTGTGTGTGTGTGTTATCTTTGATAAGAAACCAACATAAAATTCATGGCTTAAGATGATCATAACTACTTAAGGATGACACTGAAATAAAAATTAATTTTATTTTTTTCCCCATGTTTTTACGTCTAAAGTTTCCTTTTAGCTTGATTCTCTAAAACAAAGCCTTAGCGATCTCTCTCTCTCTCTCTCTCCACTGGATACTTGATCTCCTCTTCAGATATGACGGAATTTTAGAGGCCAACATACCCTTCTTGCTAAGAAACATTTCACGCAGGAAACATTTCATGAACAGGAAGCCCGGTTGAACGCCGGGAAAGGTGGGCGCGCTTTGCGGCAAACGGAAGTCCTGTTGGGGGGCTGATGTCGACGCGGGCTGTAGATAAAGACATCTTGTCAACGGCGTAGATCTTGAATTGACTTATTTGTACAAGACATTCATAAATTGTCCATTAAGTCATTTGGCCGACTAAACCGCCCAATTGACGCGCTAATTAATGAGTGTCGTGCCAGTCGGTCGGTCGTGGCAGTTTCCGATTTGCTCTAAATGATGTATCGTTTTGGGTAGGAGGCGCTAGCGTCAACACGTCCGGAAATGAACGAAAAGTTACGAAAACCCTACCACGATTCCATCTCTTCTGTCTTTATTGTTGTTACTATCATATTCGTTGTTGACGTTTTAGGTGGGTTTTTTTTTATGTTTATTGTTATTGACGTGATGGTTGTGACTACCGATGCTGTCTGTGACATTTGTACGTATTGATGCGTGTTTTTTTCGTTTTCACAAGTGTATTTTCCCTTTTGTTTTTATTGCATGAAACATTGAGAAGTTGGTGCTACGATTTTTGCATCTTCCTTTATTTCAATGACAGAAATGTATTGATTATTTCTTTTCTTTGTTCCTTTAATCTCTACTTTATCTGTTCGTTTCATAAGTTTCCCATTCATCCTTTCTTTCTCTGGAGATTTGACTTGTAATTATTTCCCTTTACTTTTATCGCCTTTAATTTTTATTCTTTCACTTTGCATTGATTTAGGAAGCATTCATTCGCGACTTTATATTCCATACTGCTTTTTCTATGAATCTTTCCTTTAGTCTCGTTGAATTCTTTCCATTTCGATATTCTTTGTTTCCCTCCTTGCTTTTTGCAATTCCTCCTCTCTTTAAGATTTTCACCCATTTTAGAATTTCTCTCCTTCTCACCCCTCAACCCCTCTCTCTTTCTCTCTCTCTCTCTCTCTCTCTCTCTCTCTATTTCCTCGCATGTTCAAATAATTTCTTTCATTTCTCGACTTACATCATTTCGTTCTTTTTGACCTCGTCTCTGTCTCGACCCCTACCCAGGGTTTATGTTTTTTTCTTTTTTCCTCTTCCTCTTCATTCTCCTTTTTCAGATTTTTCTAACCTTTCTATTTGCGTTTGTCTCTCGGGATACTCTTTTTTTTCTTTCACTTACTTTTTCCTATTTTTGTTATTCGCACCTTTTAAATTATCTCTTTGCATTCGCATTACTTTTTCTTTCATTTAATTCGCTACATTTATCCTTTCTTTCTGTACTTTTTCTCTATTTTCTTTCTCCTTCTTTCTTTCTCTTCTTTCTTTCTTTCCTTCTTTCGTTATTTCTTTCTTTCTTTCTTTCTTTCTTTCTTTCTTTCTTTCTTTCTTTCCTTCTTTCGTTATTTCCTTCTTTCTTTTCTTTCTTTCTACATTTTTATACGTTTTTCCTCTCAATTTTAAATTTCCTCCAACTTGTTATCTTCCTCCTACCCCTCCCCCTCCCCCTCCTCTTACCACTACCACCGGTACGACTAAGACCACTCTATATTCTTTAATTCTTAAAGTAGCATCACTAATGGCGCAAAACGATGCGATTTTGTCTATGGAAATGGCAGAATAATTCCTTGTCACATGAGTTAGGATTTTAAAGAAACATTTCGTTTACTAAGAAATAAATACAAAATTAAGCTGAAAAGGCAGAGTGTATTGTACTTTCACTTTCTGGAAATATAGAATTACATATGTCCTCCTGATTACACTTTTATTATTATTAATGTTTCTGTTCATAATACTTCCACACCCTATAATCACTTATTATGACTTAGTGGGTCTAATGACTTGCATGGGTGATATATATTATATATATATATATATATATATATATATATATATATATATATATATATATATATATATATATATATATCGAAATGAGTAAAAGAACAGATGGAGGGATAGTAGGGACTAAAGATTATTACGATAAATATTATATGAAGATTGACTCTTGATTTGAAGAGGTTAATATTGTTTGCTTCAAACCGGGATCGAAACCCGACTGATTTAACATCAGTCAGATATCTTACATCTAGGCTATCGTCGGCAGAAAGTAAGGAAATTTTAACGTTTTTCTCTTAGGGAATATACCAGCGGTTCGGAGAACTCAATTCAATTTACTTGAAGATTAATATATATATATATGCTGAATTGGTTAAGCATCTCACATCGTAGGGCCTTCTTTCAGACAAGTAATATGGCTTTCGTCTTTTCATGTCAACTGCTAATGTATTGACGATAATTGTGGAAAGTGTCTATCAAGCTTTAGATAATAATGGTGAATCTCGGAATATTGCTTTGAACATCTCGAAAGCTTTCCACATGGTTGGTAGGCAAGTCTTTCCCACAAGTTGAAAAGTTATGATGTCTCCGGGTAAATTTTTGAATTGATCCAGTTTTTCTTGTCAAATCGTGAAATGATAGTTATCCTGAACGACCACTCTTCTAAATTCTTTTGTACTGATGCAGTTGGACGCCCCAGGGATCTATAATTGGTTCTAGATTGTTTTTAATTTTCATTAATGACCTTCCCGGTGGTATCAGCTCTCAACTTGTTATTTATGGTGATCAAACAACCATTTACTTCTGCCTCGACGTTGTTAACTGAGGTAAAGGATAACTTGTTAATTTTAACACCTCCAAAACGAAACTGATCTCTATTAATGATCTGAGAGACCTCTTTCTGCCTTCCAGCAGAATGGCTTATGCTAACCTCCATGACAGTGACTCGTTTCGCCTTCTCTGACTAAATTTTTCGGTTGACACGAAGTAGAAAGACTATATTGAATCCATTGCTAGGTCAGCTGTTAAAAAAAGTTGGTTCACTAGACAATTTCTCTCTTCAGAATCTCGTATATAAATCTATCATTTGAGCAGGCTTAGAATATTGCTTAACATATAGTCTGATGCTTCTGCTAATTATCTAGAGCTCCGAAGAGTCAGCAATCTGATCTGGCGTCTCGGCTTCAATCACATTCCCACCGCCGTAAACTTGCCCCTTGTGCCTTTTCTATAAATACTTTCATGTCAACAGTTCTGATGAGCTCTTCGCTATGATACCTTTATGAATCTAAGCGCAGTACTAGACTGGCGTTGAGGTCTCAACAATTTACAGTTGAATTGGTTAAATGTAAACGTAAGTTTCTCGCAATTCTTTCTTCTGGAACTCTTTTCTGGCTCCATGCTTTCCATTTAACTTTTATCTTCAAAAATTTAAATGCAATGTTAATCGCTATCACCTGTCTTCCTCTTCTTTTGTTGCCGCTCTTTAATAATGTTCCCGTTTTTTAATTATTTCACACGCTGTAAACCCCTTGTGTCTAAGTGGCTTTACAGCCTTTCTTGGGGTGAAATTGATTAAAAAATATATCAACCAACAATAAGCTACCCCCATGTATAATACTCAATCGTGTAAAAAATGGTGACCCTAACTTTTAAATTTAAATGTTTGGAAAAACAAGTGCACATTGTACATTTTAATTACGCTATTAATTATTTTAATTACGTTATTAATTATTTTAATTACGCTATTAATTATTGTTATCAGTTTGAACCACAACGACACATCAGCTATTGTACTTTGTGATCATGTTGAAAACTAGAGACCTATACACTTTTAGCAATTTCATATTCAATCCCAAGCGCTGTTAGATTTTTTGCTATCATTTTGAATCGCAACGAACTATGCGCTATTAGAGCATCCTGTCAATCATTGCATACCCCTCCCAAAAAGAAACGGAACACGTAGTATTCTGTCCCCATTCTCTGTTGATGTTTTTACGGACAATACTCAATCGGCTTTTTTTTTGGCGACGTGTGATTTGTCCATGATTGAATGCCAACAATGTTTTGGCTTCGAAAAACGAATTCTTTAATAGGTATGATTGTTATAGCAGAACATAGTCAAAAATCGAATCTACTGCAATTGAAACAATAAATGTTATCGATATCATCATTGTTTTATTGGTGAAACCTTGTGTATTCCATTTTTGCCTTGAACAT